CAGGGTAAGACGTTTGTGGAAAATTTCCATCATAGTGATAGATTTTAAGAGTCTTTCCCCCATTACCACCTGTAGATGAATCGTAACTGTGCCAATATTTGTCTTCCTATCTTGTCTGTAAGCTACTTAAAATGTAGGCACAAGGAGAACCCATGTTTGTAACCAGGGGTCTTTTTGTAGAAAAAGAGCTGCCGGAGCTCATTAGCATAACTCATTAGCATATGCCACACCCCCTGACATCAACCTGTGTGTCCCTTACAGGCCGCTGCGGCGGGACTGGTGCCACCGGCGCTGAGCTCCCCGCAAGTCTCCAAATGAGGGCCGAAAATCTTTCCCATTACGAAAAAGGCGACCGTCGTGGTGTTTCCACCGGGTGAGGAGACGGATGGCAAGGCTCCGCCACGGCCCCCAGCGCTGCTGCCACAGCCTCCCCCCGAGCCAGCCTCAGCCAGCGGGGCCAAGCAGGGAGGCGCCACTGGGCGTGGAAGGGTCGGAGAGGCTGGGGTTGCCACTGCTGAGCGCCCCGGGCAAGCTGGGCAACAGCACCTCCATCTTGGGGATCTTCAACAGTGGCTCGGCGGCGAGGAGCTGTGAGGAGCCACAGGGCACCGCCATATTGGAGCTGCCGAGGTGAGCGGGTGGGGCTTCCACCAGAAGGCAACGAAACAGGAGCAAAGCAGGAGAATAGAAAAGGAGAGAGAGAGAGAAGCGGTGGGAGGAGCCCATGCAGTGCTGGCTGCAATGGACCACACGAGACTTACAAAGAGACATTAAAGAACATAAGATGCGTTTGCCGGCAAGCAGAGAGACCGGCCGTGTTTTTTGAACTAGGTAGAAATGAGGGTTAGGGCAGGCGGGACGTCCGAGCAGTCAGCATTCCTAGCCAGCCAGCCCCAGAGAAGCCCACGACCGCCAGCCTCGCAAGGCAGCGGCGCATCTCTTCCGCCTCCGGAGCATCATCATCACTCGCGGGGCACCAGCGGTGATCACGTACCTTGATGCGCTCCCGGCACTGGGACAGTGTCTGCTCATAGCCCAGCTCCGCCAGGGCCCGGGAGACGCGCTCATACATGGTGGGCCCCGGGGCCTTCCTGCCGAAGACGGAGCCCCTCCAACTGTTGGTAGCGCACCTCCACCAGCTGCGGCCCCAGGAAACTTCGGCCGGGATGGCCAAGCCCCGCCCCCTGCTCCTGGCCACCCCTCTCTGCGCTTCCCAGGGCTGCGGAGATCCGTAGTGCCCCGGGAAGTGCAGGAAGGGGTGGCCAGGCTTCCCGGGGCGCCGCGGATCACCGTGGCCCCGGGAAGCGCAGGGAGGGGTGGCCAGGTTTCCCGGGGTGCCGTGGAGCTCCGTGGCCCCGGGAAGCGCAGGGAGGGGGAAGCACAGGGAGGGGTTCCCGGGAGCAGGGGGCGGGGCTTGGTCATGTGACCACCCCGCCCCCTGGCCTCCTCACTCCTGGAGCTGCGTGCCAGAGCGCTCCGGCTCCATGAGACCCCTGCTCAAAGCAATCCTTAGCCACATGCATTTCGGACACACCTTCATAAGAGCCATCTCTGCAATATACTCCTCTCCGTCTGCAAAACTGCTTATCAACGGTTTGTCATCTAAACCATTAGATCTGTGTCGTGGGACCTGCCAAGGGTGCCCACTCTCACCTTTTTTTTTTTGCTCTAGTTATGGAGCCCTTCACTAACAATCTCCACAGGGACCCTGCCTTCTCAGGAATTCAAGCTGAAACCAAGGAATTTAGACTCAGCCTCTTCGCTGATGACCTTGTCCTATATGTAACTAGTCCTTTAACCTCCTTGGAAACAATCCACTGGAACTTGGCCCTCTTTGGTTCAATCTCAGGCCTTCGAGTAAGTCACTCTAAATCAATACTTTACCCAATTTGCTTATCAGATGACATGGCCAACCAAATTAAATCTCGTTACTTCTTCTACTGGCCTAAGAAATGCTGGACTTATCTAGGAATTAAGATTCCTATCAACCTTACAGAGCTACAAAAATTTAACCACACGGCCATTGCGGACGAATCCTACACCCAGATGAGAAAATGGAACCTTAAGCACTTGTATTGGCCAGAAAGAATCCACACAATCAAATCTTTCATACTCCCAAATGGCAACGCTCTCTTAAAAATTTTTTTTGGAAATATGCACGCCCACTGATAAAGTTTGACACACTACGTCGGAAACCTAGACATGGTGGCATTGCCTTTCCAGACCTACACCTATGCCACACTGCTGTCTAACCTCATCAGACAATACCATAGCACGGAATCTCTCAACTGGGCCTTTATAGAAGAGATTGACCTTCCTACTTGCTCCTTCAACGAATCGTTGTGGTTTGCCTCTCTCCGCAAGATATGTAAAACTGTCAAAAACCCTTTCTCAAAAGCTACCTTTGAAACGTGGATGCTCTATCGTCACAAATTATGCAGCTCGAGCTCTCTCCTAAGAACCTTCACAGGGCAAGAATGGTTTCCACCAGCGGAAAATAGGAACTCATACCAAGTATGGAAGCAAGCGGGACTCACCCATTTTTATGATGTGGTCTCTAAAGGAAAGATGGCTCTGAAAGCAGCTCTGGATCTTAAAGCCAAAAATAATATACCCTGGTTCGAATACCTTCAGCTACAGCATGCTGTATGCTCACCTAACATGGCTTCTAGCCTCAAACAACCTTTGATGGACTTTGAAATACTCCTCATGGCAAAAAAGAAAATCAAAGGCAGCATTGCCCAAATATATAACATATTGACAAAACCAAACTCGACCGCAACTACAACGTACCAGTCAGCTTGGCACAGAGACCTAAAACAAGACCTTACTCAGGAGCAATGGGACGCTATATGGAAGACACACATTAAGCTATCCAACTCAATGATCATATGTACAATGGCCCCAAAAGTGCTAATGCGATGGTATCTGACTCCAGTCAAACTATCTTACATTATGCCCCAGGTGTCACCTTTTTGCTGGAAACAATGTGGACTCAAAGCAAATTTCTTTCACAGCTGGTGGGATTGCCCCTACATAATGGTTTATCTGACATGCTTTGCTACTGGGCTGGAACATCTATATAGATCTAAGTTATGGGGAAAAGTGGGCCAAAATAAAGTGGGTCTGTTAGGGCCAAGGGGGTGTGTACCATTAAACTTGGTTTAACTTCACCGGGACTTGAAATGCCAGTATTCCAGTTTAAGTAATCATGTTGTTATTGTTGTTCAGTCGCACAGTCGAGTCCGACTCTTCGCGACCCCATGGACGAGCTCTCGCCAGGCCTTCCGATCTTCCGCCGTCCTCTGAAGTTGGCTCAACTTCATGTTCATTGCGTCGATGACACTGTCTAACCATCTCATCCTTTGCCGTCCCCGTCTTCTTTGACCTTCAATCTTTCCCAGCATCAGGGTCTTCTCCAGTGAGTGCTCCCTTCTCATTTGGTGGCCAAAGTATTTGAGCTTCAGTTTCATTATCTGGCCTTCCAGGGAACAGTCAGGGTTGATTTCTTTGAGGATTGACTGATTTGTTCTTCTTGCAGTCCAAGGGACTCTCAAGAGTCTCCTCCAGCACCATAGTTCAAAAGAATCTATTCTTCGGCGCTCGGCCTTCCTTATAGTCCAGCTCTCGCAGCCATACATGACTACTGGGAATACCATTGCTTTGACCATGCGGACTTTTGTTGGCAGGGTGATGTCTCTACTTTTTATCATGCTGTTTAGGTTCGCCATTGCTTTCCTCCCAAGGAGCAGGCGTCTTTTAATTTCATGGCTGCAGTTACAGTCTGCGGTGATCTGGGATCCCAGGAACGTGAAGTCTGTCACTACTTCCACAGCTTCCCCTTCTATTTGCCAAGGAGTGATGGGGCCGGATGCCATGATCTTAGTTTTTTTGATGTTGAGCTTCAAGCCCACTTTTGCGCTCTCCTCTTTTACTCTGAACAAGAGGCTCTTTAGATCCTCTTCACTTTCAGCCATTAGAGTGGTATCATCTGCATATCTGAGGTTGTTGATCTTTTCCCCAGCAATCTTAATTCCCGCTTGTGATTCATCCAGGCCAGCATTTCGCATGATGTACTCTGCATATATATTAAATAAGCAAGGTGACAGTATACATCCTTGTCGTACTCCTTTTCCTATGCTGAACCAATCAGTTGTTCCGTATCCGGTTCTAACTGTCGCTTCTTGGCCCTTATACAGGTTTCTCAAGAGACATGTGAGGTGGTCTGGTACTCCCATCTCTTTAAGGACCTGCCATAGTTTGTTGTGATCCACACAGTCAAAGGCTTTAGCATAGTCAATGAAGCAGAAGTAGATATTTTTCTGGTACTCTCTTGCTTTCTCCATAATCCAGCGAATGTTGGCAATATGATCTCTCGTTCCTCTACCTCTTCGAAACCCAGCTTGTACTTCTGGTAGTTCTCTATCCACGTACTGTTGAAGCCTAGCTTGTAGGATCTTGAGCATGACCTTGCTAGCGTGTGATATGAGTGCAATTGTGCGATAGTTTGAACATTCCTTGGCATTGCCCTTCTTTGGGATTGGAATGTATACTGATCTTTTCCAATCCTGTGGCCACTGTTGCGTTTTCCAAATTTGCTGGCAAATGGAGTGCAGAACTTTAACAGCATCATCTTCTAAGACTTTGAATAGCTCAGCTGGAATACCATCACCTCCACTAGCTTTGTTGTTAGCAATGCTTTCTAAGGCCCATTTAACTTCACATTCCAGGATGTCTGGCTCAAGGTCAGTGATTATACCGTCGTGTTTGTCAAGGACATTGAGGTCTTTCTTGTATAGTTCTTCTGTGTATTCTTGCCATCTTTTCCTAATCTCTTCTGCTTCTGTTAGGTCCCTACCGTTTTTGTCCTTTATCATGGCCAGCTTTGCATGGAACGCTCCCTTGATTTCTCCAATTTTCTTGAAGAGATCTCTAGTCCTTCCCATTCTATTGTTTTCTTCTATTACTTTGCACTGTTCATTCAGGAAGGCCTCCTTATCTCTCCTTGCTGTTCTCTGGAAATCTGCGTTCAGTTGGGTAAATCTTTCCTTTTCGCCTTTGCCTTTCGCTTTCCTTCTTTCCTCTGCTATTTGTAAAGCCTCATCAGAAAGCCACTTTGCTTTCTTACATTTCTTTTTCTTTGGGATGGTGGTGATTGCTGCCTCCTGTACGATGTCACGAACCTCTGTCCATAGTTCTTCAGGCACTCTATCTATCAAATCCAGACCCTTGAATCTATTCTTCACCTCTACTGTATATTCATCAGGGATGCGATCTAGGTCAAACCTGAATGGCCTCGTGGTTTTCCCAATTTTCTTCAGTTTAAGTCTGAATTTTGCAATGAGTAGCTCATGATCTGAACCACAGTCAGCTCCAGGTCTTGTTTTTACTGACTGGATAGAGCTTCTCCATCTTTGACTGCAAATTATATAGTCAATCTGATTTCGGTGTTGCCCATCTGGTGATGTCCATGTGTAGAGTCGCCTCTTAGGTTGTTGGAAAAGGGTGTTCGCTATGACCAGTGTGTTCTCTTGACAAAACTCTGTTAACCTTTGCCCTGCTTCATTTTGCTTTCCAAGGCCAAACTTGTCTGTTATTCCAGTTACCTTTTGACTTCCTACTTTAGCATTCCAGTCCCCTATGATGATGAGGACATCTTTAAGTAATATTTTATTAGGATGCTAGAAAGGCCTGTTATATAGAAGGCTTTCCTCTTGTAGGTCTGATATTGCTAGCAAGCAACATAATAGGTACAAAGTTCATGATTCTGTAGTTCTTAGGGCAAACCTTTCAATGTCTGGGTCAGATAAGATTTTAGTCTCGTATCAGTAATGAATACTTTTGTTTGGGCTTTAGCCGATATGCCTTAGGTCATGTCAAGTAAATATGTGACGCCATTGCATAGACACACCTTTCTTACATTTGACCAATAAGGAGATTTTTATGTAAATGTTGTTTAAGTTTTTGTAACCAATTATGCCTTTTGAATATTATTCCCATGATGATGATATGATGATGTCAGTCCATGTATAAAATATTATGTATTTCCTGAATATGTTCAGAATATGCTCAAGAAGAAGATGCAGAAGAAAAAGAAGAAAGTTGTCAATTTCTGGTTAACTATTTGGTCTAATTGTTTTCCTATTGATTGAGGCATGTTTCCTGATTATGCTGAAAAGAAAGCAATCAATTTTGATGGGTCCTTTGGCCTGTTTTCCATATTTCATTACAATAAAATACAAGAACTTCCTCCTCATTTGACTTAATTTTTGACATGGAATCTAATGTCTACAACATTTTGGTCCGATATTCTACGATACATTCAAGCTATCACGGAGGTTAACTTACCCATGGATCCGGCGCTGCTCCTTCTGGGCCTCTGGAAAGCAAATGAACCACCTGCAAGACAAAGAGATTTAATCAACATCCTGCTAACGGCAGCTAAGTCCACAATTGCCAAATTTTGGAAAAATACCAACCCACCATCAATAGCTCTTTGGCTCTCGACAGTTTGGGAAACTTTCTACTGGAAAAATGTACAATATCCTTTGACTTAACACGATGCGAAATAGAATTATATAGCCCTCTTGAAAAATGGTCTGTATTCCTAGAAAAATCCAAACAGGGAGTTTTGACATCTTGACTGTAGCTCTTACCTTGAACTCCTTATGTGTCATGTTCAGCAATATCTGGCCACCTGAAGCAGTGAAATCTCAGCACAGGTTCTTTGTAAGCTTCCTGTTGACTCTCACAAGTTGGGTCTTGGTCTGTTGATTATGTTTGGTATATTATCTTGTTACTTCAAACTTAATAAAAACTATTTTAAAATTATTAATTATTATTATTATTTATATATTTAATTTATATCCCACCCTCCCTTGCCATTAAAATATGCTTGAGGGGTTTGCTGGGCCATGTCCTCCGGTACAGGTCCTTAGGAGCAGACTCCATTTGGTGGGGTGTTTTTCCAGACCCTTATGCCTTGTTAAAGAGTGGGCACAATGAAACATGACCAGGATAACAACTGCACAGAAGTCTTGTTGCTTTGCTACATTACATTACCCCTTTCCAGTGTGTAACAGAAACCTGCTTGGAACTGCCTTGGCTCCTTACAATCTACAATTTTTCTACAATTAACTGTGCTACCCTCCGATGTTTAGGTTTAAGGCTGCACTGGGCTTTTATTTTTCACAATATGTTATGTAACATTCTGGATCTTACTTTTTCCAGGTGCGTCTCCTTGAACAACAGAATAAATTGTTGGAAACTAAATGGGCGCTGCTTCAGGAGAAAGGCCAGAAAACCTCTGGATTCAGTCTTGAGGACCTTTTCAATTCGTACATTGGCACCCTCAGGAATGTGCTGGAGTTCCTGGAAAATGACAAAGGAAGGATGGTTGGGGAACTGAATCAGATGCAGGAGGTTGTCAAGGACTACATGAGCAAGTAAATTCCTTTTTCTCTTCAGCTTATTTTTCCTTCCTAGACTTCTGTTGCTTCAGAAATTTAAACCACATAAACAAATCACTGATGGCTCTTTTGAACATAAGCACATGAAGGCTACTCTATGTTGCGGGGTGTGTGTGTGTCATTAATGCCTGTCTTAGTGATGTTGCCAAAGTCAACATATGAACCTCAATGACAAATAATCCTCATTTTCCATATAAGGCAAGGGTTATGACTCCTAAACTCTTCTCCAACTCATTAATCTGAGGTAGAGTAGAACTTCCCTGGCCTAGTCCCATCTATTTTTCTGGCTGTGGCAGTTTGAGCAGTTGTGGAATGGTGTGAGAACAATCTCTCTTTCTCTCTCTCTCTTTACATCTCTCTTCCATTGCCTACCTGGTAGTTTGGAGGCAATGGACACAGTGCCATAGTGAGAGGAGAGGTAGGAGGTCTCAGTCTCTCTACCTTCCTCCTTCTTTCTCAGGCTGTCTACCATCTTGATTATTGTTATACTTCAGGTCATAAAGGAGGGAGAATTTTGACTATAGTCTTCTAGAGTAATCCCTTGGAAATCACCAGATCATTCTAAAACCCATTCAGCTTTGTGGCTTATCCCTTCTTGTTTGGTTAAAGAAATCCTGTTTCCCTTCCTGGACTGTCCTAACAGATATGAAGACGAGATCAACAAACATACAACTGCAGAGAACTGTTTTCTAACTCTTAAGAATGTGAGTATCTCTAGACAGGAAGCTGACTGTTTTGCTATGAATAGTCTCCCACTCTCCCTCCTCTTGCTCACTGTTTCTCACTATTTTTTTTTAAAGTGATTGTTTTTTGCCCCAGTGTTAATGGGTGGGGACATATACCCTGTAAATATCTAAGTTTAAATTCTATATAAAACAGTAAAACTTCACTGCAGTTATCAGGTCATTGTGTTAGTGTCCATCATATTTTAAAATGTATGTGCTTCTAGGCTTGAGTGTTTCAGCTTGGAACCATCTCCTGAATATTTTTTTACATTAAAAATGTTTAAATGCTGACAAAATGGGGGTGGTATCACTCAGTCTTCGAGAAGACAAACATTAGCCAATACATGCCCATGACATTCATATATTCAGATACCACATCACTCTGCTTTCTCCCATCTTGTTCCACTGCTTTTTTTTTTTAGGATGCAGATGCTGCTTACATAAGAAATGTAGAGCTACATACGAAGATAATGACTTTGATTGATGAGATCAACTTCCTCAGAATCATATTTGAAGATGTAAGGATTCCTATTCACTTACGTCTTATTAGCTCTTCTGCCATAAAGAGTGATCCATATTGGAGTCTTCCATGGATAATCTCAAGAGGGCTACAGAACAGATGCAAAGTGATCCATTGATGGGGCATTGTCTTCCAAATGCAGCTGTCACTAATTTTTGCATTAAAAAGAACTGTGAAACTAACTTGGAAGTGTCTTGCAATATGAATACAAGGAACTTAAAAGGAATTTGTTGATGACACTTTTAACATCTCTCTGGGTTAAGATGTTATTTCAAACCCTAAGAAATTGTCTTGTTTAACTCTATATTGTCTCTGTATTGTCTTGTTTAACTCTATAATAGTTGGATTCTCTAAAGAGCCTAAAACACAACTGGAATATATTGGACAGTATCTCTGGTTGTGAACACAAACCTATCATTTGTTTTAAAAGAATTTCTAAATTCAAAGATAAATTGATCCATAGTGATACTTCTGTGGTAAACAATAAGAACAAATCTTATGGTAGAAATCTACCCTTGGGGTATTTTAAATGTGGAAATTGTTCATACTGTAAATTTACAGGTAATATCAAAGGATTTATAAATCCTATTGATGGAAAATAGTATGAGTTAAGGAATTTTACAAATTGTAACTCTGAAGGGGTGTTATATGTTATTAGATGCCCATGGAATAAGCAGTATGTAGGAAAAACCTCAAAGTGCTTAAAACACACATTTGAGAACGGAAGAGTAACGTCTCTTTTGGAAGAACAGGGGCACCTCTGGTTTTACATTTTATTGAGTATAATCAATTGAGTATTCGAAAAGTACCAGGCTGAAATGATAAGCTATTAATGAGAAGGGAGGGTAAATGGATAGTTAAACTGAGATCTTTGGCCCCCTATGGGCCAAATGAGAACTTGGACCGTTTATATTTATCTAGTCATGGTGACTCAGAATTTTGAAAGCTGCAGTCCTTTAAGGGTAAAAAGGTCTTTGGATCTATTGCATCATACCTGGCTGCAAAATACAGTGAGTTCTACCCAATTTATCCAGTTGTTCAAGGTGGGAGACAGAGAAGTTTCTATGAAAGCTATGCCACATTTCTTTTTTTCTGCCTTTCTGATATGGACCTTGAATTAATGTTTGGAGTTTTTAATCTTTTTCAGTATTAAAGGATTTGTGGTAATAAACTATGTAATTGTTGTATCTCACTAGAGAATATGTAAGGTAACCCTATACTATGCTCAGACCATATTTTAATACAGTTTACAAGTTATTTTAATCTTTAAAGAATATTTTTAATTATTCTGTAAGCATATTTTAATTGAATTTATGATTATATATTTTACTTTGTACTAAATCACCTGACAAGGCATATAGTGAAACGCATAGGGATCTAGAAGATCTAATAAAACTGCTCAACCTTGTACTTTGCCAGTTGCCAGTCCAGTACATCTCCAGTTGTACAATGCCATCTAAGCTGGACTTAATTGTCTGGTGCCAGCCAGGCCTAGCCAGGATCAGTTGCACTGTGGGGAACCTACAAGGACTTGGGGGACACACCTCACTCTCCCCAGGAAACTCCTACCCACATTATTTCCTCTTTCCCTCCTCCTGGAAACCCCCATATCTTCTATTTTCCTTGCTTCCTTCTCTTCAGATTTTTCTGCAAACCTGGAGCTTTTCTCATGCTTGTAAAAAAAATTGTCTCGTCTGTCCATGGCTCAGGTCTCTGGATTTAAGTATCCACAGATTTGGTCAGGAGAATTAGATATATTTATCTCTGTCTTCTAATGGGACACTTGTATAATCTTCAGGAAAGTACAGATCTGCAGCAAATCACTGATACTTCTGTGGTTCTCAGTATGGACAACAACCGCATCTTCAATTTGGACAGCATCATTGCCGAAATCAAAAGGGAATATGAGGAAATTGCACAAAGGAGCAAGGATGAGGCTGTGTTTTTGTACCAAAGGCAGGTAAATGAACATCAAGTAACAGATGAGTTCTTAGAAGCCATTTCTAAAGGGATACAACCAGTGATGCGCAAGCCACCCTGGACTCACCTCTTAATCAGGCTTAGATAACTGACTGGTGTTCTGATAAATCAGCACAAAGCTGATCATTATGAGGGGCATCCTTGGGAGGATGCAGGATTGGAATTTTGGGGGCACCATTTGTTTCTCAAAGCCCCCAACCACCAGTCGAAGTTGCCTGCTGCACTGTTGCAGTGGAAGTGAACATAACAGCCAGGTGCTTTGCAACCATTTTTGCAGTCCCAAGCATGCAGCAACACAGTAGTCTTTGGATGGGCCTCCACACATGGCTGGTGATGTACTGCATTCTGCTTGGTGGGTCACTCAGGTTGTGCAGACCTGTAATATGCAGCCCAGTCTCAAATCTCCAACACTCTTTGGTGTCCATAGTTTCTTCTTCTCCTTAACTATATTTGCTATTTTTGCATTTGTAAAATACTGAGTTGTAGTTTTTTAGTTGCAGTGAGTCAAAGCCCTGGTTGTGCAAAGACTATTATAAATGCATTTAATAATGAGGTGGGTTTTGTACACCATAAATTGAACAAGTTGCTATATTTTCTTGTTGTGCACAATAGTATGAAGAGCTTCAGATTGCCACTGGGAGATATAAGGAGGATCTCTGGAAGACCAAACATGAGATTGCAGAAATGAAACGACACATCCAGAGACTGCAGACTGAACATAACAGCGTGAAGAAGCTGGTACAATATTGCTTAAAAAGCATATATGAAAAAGACATCTGGAGTTCTGTAAAGCAGACACGATTACCTTCGGTCAGTTCAGAAGTGTACAGAAGACAGATGAGAGGGAGCATTCTCATAGGAGAGCTTTGTTTCTCTGCCCACTGATAACTATTTGGGTGGAAAGGAAATCAAGTTTACAATTAAAAAATAAAGTTACAGGCAATTGGATCCCAGGGAGGAAAAGGTGAGAGGGCAGATAACCCCATTCTCACCATCCTATGCTATTAAGCATTTGTGCGGGACCAATGGAGTAAGCAATATCAGTAGCACAAGCTAAAGTTACTACCCCATCTCTGGTGGAACTGGTTTTGGCCTTTACATTTATCCACTTTCCAGCCCTGCCTTTGGTATTTTGATTTCATACTGCTAGAAGTTACATCATTCTCAGTTCCATCATACTGGATGTTAGTTTCTATAGCAGCAGTGTTGTTAGTGCACAGTTCCAGTGTCCTGACTGGTATTGTTAATGTTGTGACAACAGAGAGAAGTGGTTCTCCACAAATAAAAGAGGGAGAAAATTGCTCAGTGTTGTCTCACTATAGATTTATGTGAGACCTTTGACCATTGTCTATTATTGATCTAGCATCATCTGTGTATTACACAATAATGCTACATCTTCCCCTCTTCTCTGAGCGGTGAGAAGTTCCAGGGCTACCACTCACCTGGCTTGATTCCCTTTGGAGGACAGAACACTGATGGGTTATGGGATCTATACTGTATATGCTTTATATAGAAATATACAGGTAGAGCACAGGTGGGAGGGCAGAGGCACTCATAAAAGGCAGCAGATCCAACACCCCACGTCAGATGCCCAAGAGGCAGATCTTGCTTCTGATGGCTTCTTCAGCCAGTCTTCCACAATCTGTGTCTATTACTTTCTCTGGTAGGTAAGTATTGTTTTATTGTATATGGCCATAAGCCTTCACAATATCAAAACACTCTCAGAAAATATATACATTAACATATAATAAAATGTTTCAACCTCTATTAAAACATATAAAACACCTATTAAAATTATCTCGACCTCTGGTCTAAAACCGATAAGACCTTTTAAAATCACTCACTTGGTTGCAATGGTACTATTTGATTTCTTTTCTCTAATTTTTCTAGTGGTCAAGGCAAAGAGAGCCAATCTTGAAGAAATGAAGGGGTCCTCATCTGAGAGCAAAAAGACCATCTTTTCATAATCAGACAGGGGGTATAGGGCTGTCAATATCTTTGCTAAAAATTTGACCCACCTCTGGCCTGGATGGGCACTATGACAGTTATTTCCCAGCATTTGAAGTCACTGAGATTTCCACAACCCCATGTCATTCCTTTTGTCATATAGGATAGCCTGAGCCGCACAGATCAGAATCCAAGCAGCAACAATACCATAAGCAACATACAAGTACTTACAATGTTGATGAATCAGTGTCTTTTTGTTTTTCTTTTCAAAGTGTGCCAACCTGCAGGCAGTGAGTAATGAGGGAGAAAAGCGTGGTGAGCTGGCCCTCAAAGATGCCAGGCAGAAACTGGCAGAGCTGGAAGAAGCTCTGCAGAGAGCTAAAGAGAATTTAGCCCAGCAGGTGAAGGACTCCCAGGGTCTGTTAAGCACCAAGCTAGCCCTGGATGTTGAGATTGCCACCTACATGAAACTTCTGGAAGGAGAGGAATGCAGGTCGGTGAAACAGTCTCAGCAACTGGACCCAAGAACATCCATGTAGCCCTTATTAATGAATTCTGTCTCCATGCTGGTTCTACTTCCTCTTCCATTGCTTACTCCCCACCCTGTTTGTAGAAACAACTTTTTTTTTGGTACTTGGCCTGACTGTGAGGATTTTTTGATTTGCACTCTGAGGCCAAGTTCAGGATTGGGTATATAATGGTGCTGCAGAATATGGAAAGTGAAAAAAGATGGAAACAGCCTTTTTCTTTCATTCCCTTGCTCCCTTCTCCATGTTGTCTAACTGACTTGAAAAGCAACAAAGGATGCCCTCCGGCCATTTCTTCTGAGATGGAAAAAGAACTTCTAATTGTTATTGTATTGAGGACCACAGGTTTGGCAGTTTGCAAGTAGGAATTCCCAGACCACATGGATTTAGGAGTGCAATTCCTGTCATCTCCTCCTTGGACTGGTATTCTAGCATCCTTGATATGGGCTCCACAAAATCTCCCTCCAAGCCTGACTTCAAGACAGAGCCAATGAGAGGCATAGTGATCTTGGACTTTGTTCTGAGCAAATCTCATGGCCTGTTACAAGATGTAGATGTTATTGCACCAATTGGGAATAGTGACCACAATGCTATTTTCAGCATTCTTGGGGGGGGGG